CTTATTGAGTTTTGGCTGCAACATTACATCAATTGCAGGAAGAGGAAGGATCCGACCACACGCCTATTTTAAGGTTAGTTCTTCTTCTTCTACTATAGTTCTGGCTAGCTACTCTTTTTTCTTTCATTGTTAATCTAATTTGGAGATGATTTGCTTCTTATGATATTTTGTGCATTCAACTTCTCTTTAATTTAATGTTGCTTTTGCATTCTATCACCTTCGTGTTTCATTAATAAAGAATTTCTTTTTGCCAATAAGAAAAAATTAAACCATTAAACTAGGATGTTCATAAGCACACACTTAGAGTCTCATTCTAAATCAAGAACCACCTGGTGCAGAGTTGCATGAATCAAGACTTGAATAATTCAGTAGTGAGAACTAAAACACAACAGCGAAAACATTATAGTAGCAGCAGCAGGTAGACTAGTACTAGTAGTACAGTAGTACTAATACTATTAAAGCAAAAGGTAAATAACACCTTTATCCTACTTCCACATCTTCCCTTCGCTTACTCACTAAACTGAATGTGGTTTGCCCTATAGTTCATGATCCTTATTTTTCTTTTTCTTTTTCTTTTTTCTCAATGAAATTGGGCAATTGCATCTCCACTTTTGTCCAATCAATCCTAATGATTAATCAGGCAGTCATTTACATTGATAGTAACATTTTACTCCATGTTGGGAGCTAGATTACTGAGGCAAATTACCAATTCTTTATGAACACACAACAAGATAAAATATTGAGCAGGAAGGAGCAGTTAAAAGGCCCTTCTTATGTGAGTCTATAGATTTCATCTGAGTCTTTAGATTTCAAATATGCTCATTTTATCAGCAACTGTTTTCTTCCTTCTGTACCATGAAAGCAAGACCAACCTTCTACCAGTTGTCTTCAATTTAATAAACATTCATAGAGTTAGAAAACACTAACTGCAGCAAAACATCAACAAAGTTATGCAAATAGAGACACATTTGAGAGTAACAACTAACATTCATTTGTCCTCTCCTCGGGGTGCCCTTTAATTGTCAATTCCTCCAAGGCACAAAACCAGACAAAATTACTCGAGAATTAAATGTCATCCAAGTTAGTCTCAGCTCTTTAGTCACTAGAAAAACAACTATAGTCTTTGAACTTTATGCAAAGCACTCGTCTGAATCTCCAACAAATCAGCAATAATAGAGGACTTGCATTCGATCTATGCCTCAATGTAGACTGAACTCTCTGTATCTAAATAAAGCTAAGATCTATGCCTCAATGTTGAATAAGTTGTAATTCAATTCAGTCAATCACCCCAAATATATATATATATATATATATATTTCCTCAAGAAAGGATAGGCTTAATATCAACAATGATTGCACTTAAATAATATAATTATTTATTTGCTCAAAATCTTGTGTTTATGTAACCTATGCATAATACATGTAATTGAGCTTTACTTCTATCCTTCTGTATTTGACTTGGATAGTTGAAGATCTCTCAAAATTCTCTGAAGCAGACTGTTTGTTGGTGATTTTTCTCATGGAGATATATCTGTATCTAGAATCTGGATACAGCCAAGACCACAATTTAAGTTGAATTTACTCTTTGATGTGGTCAAACTGAATTTCTATTGATAATTAGCATATTCATGCAGCACAAAAAATTTATGGTGGTAGAGTAAAGAATCTTGATCGAAGATTGTAGTATTAGGTAAATTTGAAATTGGCAACAATTGCATTAACAGCTAAGAAGCGTGGACACGGACACAATTTAAATATCTATTTTAGAAAAGTTGAATTCTGTCTCTGTATGTGTCTGAAAGATGTGCTTTATATATGAATTCTAGGATGGATATCTTCTTTAAGAGATTTGGGTGTTTTCTTTTTTTAGTTCTTTCAGCAGTTTCTTTTAGTGCACTCTCTTATTATTTATGTTTCTTTCTGAATTCTTGCCGTTCCTCTAATAGCTATTTTGGCTCAGATTTCTTGCTGCAGAAGCATTAAGTTTTCATTTGATCTAATTCCAGGGATAATTGTGATTTTGCGGTTGTAAATAGCTTAATATTATCATTAATGTACCTTTGTTTGGTTGTTTTTCTGTTGATACAGTTTCTGATTAGAAGTTTATTCACTTGAGCAGGAATGGTGATGATGATTCAGTAGCTAAAATGAAGGCCGCTGAAGATGCCCTGCAAGAAAAGGAGAAGGTAATATTTTTTTGGGTCTGCTACCTGCTATAAGTTGTAGCATTATTTGATTATTTGAATAATTTTTTCGTCCATAAGATAGGACATCTGCAGGGGCAAAGATTAGCCTTAAATTTTTTTTATTTTTTATTTCATTTCTCTGAGTTTTCAACTTTATCATATTGCATGTATTTGTTTGGATAGATTTGATGTTTCTGCATGCATTCTGTTGGCTTATAAGTTAACTGTGATTTGCAGCAAAAACCTTCATTCGAGCTCTCTGGGAAGCTTGCTTCGGAAACTAACAGAGTCAGAGGTGATAATCTAATTGCCTTCATTTTAGGATAATGAATTTCATTTTGTTATTCACTTGGCTGAAGGGGGCACTCTTAAATAGAGCTGTGAACATGTTGATTTGTTGGTGTAAATAAATGTTATACTGCATTTTGATGATTAAGGGGTGATCTCCTGCTTTCCATCATTTTGAATATGGCTACCTGAATATTGAGATATATCTTTTTGATTTTCTCAATCTGTTGCTTTGCTTGTATTACCACATGCTTTTCCTAGCTTATGACCTCAGTAAATTTCCATGGCAGTGACTGACACGTACTCACATATAGTCCTTCGAACATAGTTATTAATGTGTTGCATCGGAGTGGGCTGGTCCTTTCTAAAAGTTTTCCACAAAATTTAGAAAGCTATTTTGTAATATTTTTTTCAATATTTTGTCTTGGGAAGAAAATTTTCAAATATTGCTCTAAGTGAATATATTACATTTATGAAAGTTGCTGTTTAATTCTATCACCACTTTATGAGCAATGAATTTGTAACTTAATCATGTGATCTTATGTGGTTTGGACTATGCTATGATTTGTTAAACATGTTAGTAATGTTTCAAAATAACTCCATTATTGGTTTTTGGTTGGGCAGGCCTTCTCCCCCCAACCTTTCTATTCTTGTAGATTCACATCGTACCTACAATGCCCATTGAAACAGATTGAATTGCTCAAATGGGGATTTGGAGCATCTGTTGTTAGAAGTGATGGTCACATGAGCTTGCATTGTTTTTTATTTTTAATTTTGTTTTCAAACTTAGTTTATTTATTATTTTAATAAACATCAATTATTAATTCTTAATAATTGTTTACGACAGGTATTTTTTTTCAAGCATATAAAATTAGCACAACTTTAATTTGGAGCATCTGTTGTTAGAAGTGATGGTCACATGAGCTTGCATTGTTTTTTATTTTTAATTTTGTTTTCAAACTTAGTTTATTTATTATTTTAATAAACATCAATTATTAATTCTTAATAATTGTTTACGACAGGTATTTTTTTCAAGCATATAAAATTAGCACAACTTTAAAAATAAAAAAAAATAAAAATAAAGGCTATGGCGGCGTTTTTTGAACGTCACTCTATCCCTACCCCAACGGTTAGGTTTTTAAAATGTATAAATGTCTTTGACGGCGTTTTCAAAACGTCGCTAAATGTCATATGACGTCACAGTACAGTTAGTAGGACATTTGGCGGCGTTTTTAAAAACGCCGCATATACTAATATAACGACGTTTTCAAAACGCCATAAAGCTATAGCGACGGCCGTGTCATCGGCGTTTGGTACTAAACGTCACAAAAAGAATTAGCGACGTTTTCAATACCTATAGCGGCGTTTTTAAAACGCCGCTAAAAATCGATTTTCCAGCAGTGTCTCATGTGATTTTCTTGATTTTTAAAAAAATATTGTGAGTATAAAATTTATTTCCTTTGATTTATATTTAATTCGTTGTTTTTATTTATTTATTTTTATTTATTTAATGTTAGTTTAATTTTGTATTTACATAGAGATGATAGATTGATTTTAATTATTTTTGATTAGTTGTGTATGTCAGGCTTAGGGTTTTTATATGTATTTATTTTATGATTGTAATCACACTCATGGTTATATGAAATTAAAATAAACTTAGAATCCATAGATAAAATTCTTACGCTCCATCATGACTCCATGTATTGTTATTTTATTTGAGTGTTAGTGAGAAAGAGTTTTAAATATCTATTTTAATAAAAGGTCAATCTCGTACTTTTATTTGAGTGTTGGTGAGAAAGAGTGTATAAAAAAAAGGTGGGAATTTTGAGATTTATTTGAATGCCTTAGGCTTGACATTGTTATGTTTATTCTCATGAGTAGATGAGAGATTGTGTATATATATTATTGCCTCGTTCTCATGAGCAGACGAGTGCTTTGATTTGCGCACGTACGTATATTCTAACCATCCGGGGAGTGTGGGTTAAACTCGGAATAATATCCCTGTGCAAGTTTGGCTTCAAAGTGGTGTTAGGTATACGGGAGGCACATGAGATATATGTGTAGGTCAGAAGTGAATGGCCGAAGTGGTGAAATTAAGGTATAAAAAATTTAATTATGAGTTTATTGGTATAGTGTGAATTGTATTAATTTATATATGTTGAAAAATAGTAAACAACCTCAATAAATTACGAAATTTGGGCAGAGGCATGTATACATAATTCCAGACAACTTTTTTATTTTAACTTTTTACTAGAAAGATCGATTAAAACTTGTAATCGGATAATTTTTATTACAATAGTTTTTTATTTGTTTTAGTATTGCAGATTTTAGATGCTGTTTTAGCCTACGAAACGAGCTCATTTTTATTGGTGTCTCGCAAGATGAAGTAAAACATTATTCTGAACACTTTTCATGTTTTGAACTTTTTCAAAAAAAATCATCTTAGGGCAGTTTCTTTTCGTTTTCAGTTTCAGATTTTTCGGTTGAATTCCGTCTTGGTTCTTCTATCAAGTTTTTCTTTCAACCTGTTCAGTTTCTACTAAATTCGTTCACATTGTCTTTTAGGAAATTTGATTCTGTGCAACTTTTGTTCTTTGAGTTTTGGTTAATTCGAATTATTTAAGTATGAAATTGTGCATTTTTATACTTCTTCAGCAAGTTAGTTATAATTAACTTATACTAATTTTATTTTTTGCAGAATAGTGGGTCTTACTTACTTTTTATGCAGGGCTGACCTACCATATTTTTGTTTTTATTTTGTTTATTTTATACTCAATTTATATTTCGTTGTGTATGGGAAAGAAACTAAATGACACCGTATTTCGGGAAACTACCCATTCGTCACAGTGTGGATAGAACTACTTATCTTGTCCCGTAACAAAAATTAAATGTATTTTTGTTTATGTCTGGTGGACACGTGTGTGTCAAATATTTGTACTCATACCAGTATACTTGTATACTGACCCGTTTTGTCTATTGGCATCTCGAGTGCATTCTGTTTAAGCGCAGCCGAACTGCCTTTGTAGGATTAGTTGGGGCTACGGTGGTGAAGAGAAATAATTATAGTTATTGGACATGTGGTTTGGACTTCTTTTGTTTTCTTGAGCTTAGAGTTGATATTAGTTTACGTATTTATTTTTATTTTTTTTCTGACATTAGTATTTTGATAATTTAGCATGGTTTGTAACTTTACATTATTTAAGTTATTTTGACGATTTATTGTTACTTTAATGTTGGAGGTATTGGTCAGTTATGAAATTATGGTGGATAGTTTGGTTGGCGTTTTGTTAGTTTTTTTTTTATCCCTTGTAACTTTTGAGGATGGAAATTTACTTAAACCCTTTGGGGATGTGAACATTTAGATTTTGTTTCACCCTTAAGATTTGGATGATAGAATATTTATTGGGGTTTAGTCCTAATTTAATATTTAAGTGTTCAAATTTTGGGGGGAGTGAACCACTCTTCCCAAACTTCATCAAACCTCTCCTAGGTGATATCTTCAAGAAGACATATTCTCCCACCTCAAAAGATAAGGGTCTCCTCCTACGGTCGGCATAACTTTTCTGGCGATTCTGTGCCGTAACCAACCTTTTACGGATAAGTGCAACTTTTTCCGTCATTTCTCAGACTAACTATAGACCCAACATAAGTGCATCACCCACCTCAACCCAACACACAGGGGATCTACACGGTCGGCCATACAAGGCCTCAAATGGTGCCATACCAATACTCGACTGGAAGCTATTGTTATAGGAAAATTTCACTAAGGACAAGTGCCTCTCATACGAACCCTTAAAGTCAAGGATACAATCCTGAAGCATATCCTCTAAAATCTGAATGGTGCGCTCTGACTACCTATCAGTCTAAGGATAATACGCAGTGCTAAAGGTCAATCTCGTACTCAAGGCACTCTGTAGGCTCTACTACAACCGAGCCGTGAAACGCAGATCTCTATCTGAAACAATCGTCACAAGGACTCCGTACAAGTATAAAGTGCGTACAAGGACTCCGGCAAGATAATCTACTGAGTCACTCACACGCATAAGTATAAAGTGCGTCAACTTGGTCAGCAGGTCGACTACCACCCAAATTGCATCGCTACCCCATTGAGTCCTCGAAAGGCCCACAACAAAATCCATCGTGACATACTCCCACTTTTACTTGGCTATAAGCAAGGGTTGCAACAAACCCGCTGGCCTTTGATGTTCGGCCTTCACTTGTTGACAAGTAAGGTACTTCAACACAAACACGGCCACATTCTTCTTCATTTCCTTTCATCAAAACTGGCGAAAAAGGTCGTGATACATCTTTGTGCCTCCCGAATGCACTACAAGGCATGAATGGTGAAACTCTCAGAGTACTTCCTCTCGGCAAGACTTTAACACGAAGAGACGATCAAGGTATCTAAAACTCGAGTCGGAGTACACGTTTAAGCCTCTTTCTACTTTTCCACTGGAAATCTTCTCCCGGAGGGATTCTACCTCAAGGTCACCCTTTGTGCTTCCATCACTCGGTTCACAAGTGTAGTTTGTGCAACTACCGAAAACAAGGCCACAGACTCAACAGACTCGCCAGGATGTAAGTCAAACTCCCCAATAGCACCCAACATCTCCCATTCTCGGATGGCAATACAAGCTACACTGTTAATGGATTTCCTACTCAAAACGTCGACCACAACATTGGCCTTTCCTAGATGATAATGTAACTCAAAATCATAATCCTCTATAAACTCCATCCACCTCCTCTGCCTCAGATTCAAGTCATTCTGTGTGAACAGATATTTCAGACTCTTGCGATTAGAAAATACTTCAAACTTCTCACGATACCGATAATGCCTCCAAATTTTTAAGGCAAAAATCACTGCTGCTAACTCTAAGTTATTAGTAGGGTAGTTCCTCTCATGTGTTTTCAACTACGACGAGCCATAGGCCACTATCTTCCCCTCTTGCATCAAAACACAACTCAAACCTTCCCGTAAGGCATCACAATACACCGAATAGCCCAAACCCCTCTTCGAAATAATCAAAACTGGAGTAGTGGTAAGTCTAACCTTAAGCTCTTGAAAAGACTTCTCACAGGTCTTACTCCACACAAATTTGATCTCTTTCCTCATCAATCTAGTCAATGGTAAGGCTAGCTTAGAGAAATCCTTCATAAATCTACGATAATACCCGGCCAATCCCAAAAAACTATGGATCTCAAAAGTATTCTTAGGTGTTTCCCAATCTTGCACTGCCTCTATCTTGGATGAATCTACAGTCACCCCTTTCCCGGATGCCATGTGGCCTAAGAACTTAACTTTTCTCAGCCAAAATTCGCATTTCCCAAACTTAGCATGCAATTTGTGGACTCTAAGCAACTCAAGTACCACTCACAAGTGTTCCTTGTACTCCTTCTTAGAGGGTGAGTAAATCAAGATGTCGTCCACAAAGACGACCACAAAACGGTCTAGGAACTCACGAAAGATCCAGTTCATCAAATCCATAAACAAAGCTGGTGCATTGGTTAGCCCAAAGGGCATCACTAGAAACTCGTAATAGTCATACCGCGTACGGAATGCCGTCTTCGGGATATCCGCCTCCCTTACTCTCAACTAGTGATAACCCGATCTCAGGTCTATCTTAGAGAAGTAACAAGACCCGTTCTACTGATCAAACAAATCATCTATATGAGGCATTGGATACTTGTTCTTAACAGTTATCCAGTTTAACTTCCAGTAATCTATACAAATTCGTAACACACAATCTTTCTTTTTGGCGAAAAAAGTCGA